AAAAGAATGAAGAAGTTGAAACAAACAACAAACTTCAAATTATAGAAAAAGAGATAGAAGCAACATTGCCAAAACTACACAAGCAGTAGTCAGAAGTCTGGATAGATGATATAAAAGGTTGGCAAAGAATAATTAAAGAGAAAAAAAAAGAGGAATGGAAACAAATACAAAGAAAACAGATAGAAGAAAACATAAGCAGAAAATATAAAATAATTAAAATAGATTAAGGTCAAATGATTGCTAGCTTACTAAATAAATCATATAAAAAGCTTGTTCTAAACAGATTTATAATGCAAAACAAAGAAGAAGTTAACCTAATATCAGAACCAAATGCAGTTCTAAATAGTTTAGTAGCTTATTTTAAAAACCAATTTAGAAAACAGAAAACCAAACTTAAAAAAATAGCAGAAGAATAGAAAGAAGTATATAATCCAAAAGATTAGATTAATGAGGCCTGATATAAGAAATTAAAAGAAAGAATAGAAAAAAAAGAATAAAAGAAATACTTAGAGAGCTTAAAGTGAATACAGCTCCAGAAATATTAGACATAAGCTATATATTAATAAAACATGCAGAAAAGAAATTATAAAAGATTTTTAGAGTCTTTGCAAATCTGATTCTGAAAAAAGAAGACATACCAAAAAAGTAAAAAATTATGCAAATATATCTAATCTTAAAAGATGTAGATTGGAGTTACTGCTTAAACAATATTAGGCCAATAGCATTAATTGAGACCTTTAGAAAAGTCATTATAAAAGTAGTAACAAAAAGATTAGCCAGAGTGTTCACAGAAAGAAACATATTCAAAAGACTAAATTTTGCAGATCTGCCAGATAACTCAACAAAGCAACTAATACATATATTAAACATGATAATAAAGAAGGTACAAGAAAAGAATAAAGAAATATAGATATTGTTACAAAATATAAAAAAGATATTTGACTTAGTTTCATTAGAAAGCCTAAAATGAGTTTTAAAAAAAGTCAAAATTCTACAAAAAACAAAAAAATACATAAGCAATCTGTTTTATAAACAGCAAATCAAAATTATCACAGCTTATAGTTTAACAGAAGAAATAATAGCAGAAGATAGAATAGACCAAGAAAAGGTAATCTCACCACTAATTTGGCATCTTTCTATAACCCACTATTAGAAAGAATACAAAAAGATAAAACATTAGACTATATAGTAGAACAAAAAATTATAGAAAGAGCATGCAGTAATAATGTTACAAGTTATAGGCAAGTAGCAATTGCATATGCTGATAATATAACATGAATTGCAAACAGTAAAGAACAAATATTAAGAATTTTAAGTATTACAGAAGAGTTCTTTATAGCAAATGACATTGAAATAAATGGATTCAAATTAAAGCTTATAGTAATGAACACAAGAACAAGAGAGAAAGAAAGAAAAATTACATTTGGTCACAATAAAATAATAGAAAAACCCAAAAACAAAATTGTAAGATTATTAGGAATATAACTAAATAGCAGAATAAGAGAAGCACTAGTCTATAAGAAAGCAAAAGGAATAGTTAGTCAAATAGTTAAAAATCTAAGATACAAAAGATGACAATAAGCCAAATTACATATATAAACAATACAATAATAATTTCTAAGTTAGGGTATCTCTTATAGCTAACAAAAATGTCTGAAAAGATGATTGATAAAATATATCAACTACTAATATACTTAGTTAAATATAAGTGCAATATTATGAGAATATCAAACAACTGCATAATTGAGTACAAAGATTTAGGTAATTGCAAAATACTAAGCCAAGAGATAATAACTAAGCAAATAAGTAGTCTCTTCTTAAGACTCAATAGACAGAATAGTTTAAATGTATTAACAAGACTTATAATAACTCAAAGATGCCAAAAAGCAGACTTAACAGAAGATATTTAGGACAATAAAAGAAAAATAAAAGTTAAAAAATTTTGAAAAAATAATCTAATCTGTTAAACAATACCTAAAGCAAAAGAAATAAATATAAACATTAAAGCAGAAAAATCTTTATAGAAAATTTATAGATATGGTAAACAGATAAGAGATATGCTAGAAACAAAAATGTAAATAGCAAGCAGTAGTACAATAAATGAATAAGAGTTATTATATCTGAACCAACTTATAGATATGAAAGGCGATAATCTAATAATATGAAAACAGCTCAAAAATCTTCAAGGCTTGTCATATAAAGGAAAGAAGACTAAATGGTTTAGTGAAATAGAAGAAAAGATGCTGAGAATACAAGCAAGTAGAAAAATACAATATTATTACAAAATAAAAAAGTATAATATACAAGTATTAAAATTTAAGTAATCAAAGATATTTGAAGACCAAAGAAAAAAAAGAATAAATCATTCACAAACCAAAACACAACTAGCAATTAGACAAAGTAATTAAGAAAAAGAAAAAAAAGTATTAGCAGAGCATTGGTCAATGTATATAGAAGAAGGAAGAATATCAACAGAATTAAGTATATATAAAGATTATAAAGGCAGCTTAGAACAGATAACAGACAAGTGTAAAAGATAGATAAGATGAAATCACAACATGAGAGTAATACCAGAATTGCTAATAGAAAAAGCTAATAATAAGATAAATACAATGTTAGAACAGATACTAGAAGATAAAATAATAGAAGAATAGAAAAGAGATAAAATGAATTACTAGAAATAAGACAAACAAATGAATTAAAAATAGAACTGATTAGAAAATAAGAATTAAATAACATGATTACAAATCAGTTAGTAGAGATATTAACATAAAACAAAAAGAGAGACAAGAGGAAATACAGTTTCTATATTGATAGAGCATTATACAAGAAGAAAAAAGAAAATAATATAGAAAAAATAGGTATTGGTTGGGTACAAGTAGAAGAGAAAAAAGATTGGTCAGAAAAAGAAACTGCATTAGGACTTGAAAATTGGCCTTCAGTAACAATAGCAGAATTAGCAATAATATAAACAGCAATCCTAACAGTACCAAAAGGAAAAAGCATAGAAGTGTTTATAAACAGTATTGCAACATTAAGAAACATTAACAAAGCACTTTAAGATATAAAAGAGAAAAGAATCCTGAAGAGAAAAAATGCAATATGGATAATGAACATTATAGGTCTAATCAAGAATAAGAATATTAAGATAAAAATAATCAAAATTAAAAGTTATAGTAAAAATAAGTAGAATGACAGAGCAGACTCTTTTGTAAAAAAAAAAACAAATTGCCAAGATAAAATATATACAAATAAAGTCAAATATAATAAAATAAAGTATTATTTAGAGTAAGAAATCAAGAAAATTAATATATTAGCAAGACTTTTATACAAAATAATAGCAAATACCAGAATAGAAGCCAGCTGAAGAGAAACAAACTCAATACAAATATTAGAACCAGAAACAGAAAATATACTATATAATTGATCAAGCTTTTAAAAAGAAATAAACAAAACAAAAGAAGTTTACTATATATCAAGAAAACTTAATACAAGAAGAGCTATAGCAATCAAGTACATAATGGATAGCCTATTAACAGTTGAGAAACTAAATAAAAAAAGATCAGAATTATATATAACAGCAGAGTGCCAAGTATGTCAAGTTAGAGAAAAAGAAACTTAGATATATTTAGCAAGTTGTAATAAACAAAAGAGTTTATAAAACTAAATTAAAAAATTATAACTGCAACAGCATGAAATAAATTCAAAGAAATAGAAAAAAACAGAATCTCATCACAAGTTCTATATAAGACATTATTTGGAAAAACAGAAGCTGAAGAAATCACAAACAGAAAAATGCTAATAAAAAGACTCATAATACTAAAAATAAAAAAAAGATTTAAGCAACTTTTAAATAAGTAAACAACACAGAAGTGCATAAATATAGTAACAAGAACAGTATAAAACATTTTCTATGACCAAGTATAAAGGGTATGATGTGAAAAAATACAGGTCTGAGAAAAGAAGATTAACATAATAAATAAAATAAAAAAAGATGTTCATGCAAGGGAAAAAGCAAAAAAGAAAGTAAAAGAAAATAAATAAGCAAAAAAAGAAGAAAAAAGAAAGAAAGCAAAAAAGGCAGACCAATAAAGAAAGAAGCTTTAAAGACAATAAATATGCTTGTCACAAAAAGAAGATGACATTTCTGATATAACTTTAAGTAGTTAAACAAGTAGTCTATCTCTAAAGGCTCTGTTAGATATTAGCTGAGATTGATTTATTATAGAGATGCCCCCCCCCTTCCCCCTACCTAAGATATGTTATCATGTCAAATATTCGCCCAGCCAATCAAATAACACTTTAGGTTATATGAATAAAAATAATCAATATATATAATAAAAATAAATTTATCCAAATTTGATTTGCTAATAATCATCATTCAGGCTCATTTTGTAAACACTTAATCCTTAAACATATAAGTCATGTCTAAATAATTTTTTTTTATTGTCATACAACCCAATTTGCATCTATTATATTAACATGATCAGATTGTTAATGTGAAACATGATCAACTAACTAGCAATATGACCTGTGGCTTCACTCTTAAAAATATTTACAATCACATTTTCTAAAAAGGCTTCTATTTATAAACATAATCTGGTGAAGTTGGTACTGTAACAAATCTTCTAATGCAGTGATCTAAATAAATCAATTTATGTAATAAATTAATATTAAATAAATCATTCAATTATAAACACAGCACTATGAGATTTTAATTTATCACAATACCCAATTTCATCAAATATATATTTGTTGCTAAATAAAAATAAATCAAAAGATCATTTACCTTATTTTGTAAATGGTGTAATAAACGAATAATAAAAATGAATTACAAACCTGTGTCAAGGTAGTTGTTTTCCTCACACATATATACAAAAGCGTATCATAGAATAAAAAAATTATGAGTACTTGAAACAAACCAGTATAAAGACATAAAAATAAATACCTCTCTAAATCATTAATGTCGAATATTGATATCCACAACTACTTTATATGAAATGCAACAATTTTTTGCTACACCAAAATATGATAAAAAATCTATCTACAAAAATCCAAAAACACAATATTATTATTTTACAAACACGTTTGGATACTATCATATGATCAAAGCAGGAAATCCATTATATCCAAAAAAAAACCTATGTACAGAAGCCATAGAAGTGTGGAAGCTTGTTAAAAAAAAAAAGAAAAATAAAATTGATGACAAGATTAGAGAATATCTTACTACACCTATTCCTATACAATCTTATGTTTTTTACCTATTTTGTAATTCAAATCAAGTATCATCAGTTCAAGAAACAATATCCATGTCATCTATCATGATTGTTGTAGATAAAATGATCTCTAAAAATGCAGTAGCACAAAAAAAATCACTTGCTATAAAAAAAGAAAATGCCAAAAAATTGGTTGAATTGGAAGCAATCTACGAAGCAACCAGTGATCTTCAGCTCAAAAATGATATATTACATCAAATTCTTGATATAAAATAGATAATTAAAGAAGAATCAAAAAAAATTAGTATTTTAAAATATAATGCAGCCTATCAAGCAAAATCAAATGCAAAAAAATTGAAAAAACTTTATAAAAATCAGAAAGTTGTAGTATATAATAGTCTTGGTCAACCACCTCTTCTTTTTGATTATCCAGGTCTTTATAAGCATATACATGATTGTATTGAGTTTGAAAAGGCACATAGCAAACAAAGGCATGAAATTATTAAAGCAAGAATGATTAGCCATCTTCGTTCAGCACTAGAAATAAAATATAATGAATATCTTTTAAGGACTACGCTTAATAATTATCTTTTGCCCCGAAACTCCTCAAGTATTGTCGCAAGAGCACACCACCATCCTGCCTTAGTAGCTATTACAAATGTTTCTAAATCAGAAAAAAAAGAACACACTGATGAGCACTATTGCCTCGCTTCAGTTAAAGGTGTTAGACAATTCGCTGCAATGTTTCTTCATCATTCTGTTGTCATTTCACAAGATGACAAAGTGAAGGTTCTACTTGGAATCCTAGCTGTTGGCAAAACCTTTCAAACAATGCAAACTATTCATAAAACTGTTATCCTTGCTGATCATGATTTTCCTATAGGAGCTTATCAAAAACTTATTCCCTTTGTATATCTTGCTATTGACCCTTTAGATTCTAATGATACACTTCGCAAAAGTCAGTTGGGTATTTTTGTTTGTCCCCAATATAACATTGGCACAAGTTTTAATACACATATGGCAAATCTAATTAAACTTACCAACCAAGAATCCTTTACTAATATTTTTAAAAATAATAATCAGGTTAAACCGATTTGGGTTCTTCTCGTTGACAGGGGACCCGACAAAAATCCTAGGCATCTGAAAAACATTTGTAGATATTGTAAATTGTTTCAATTTCTTAATCTTAATTATCTCATAGTAAGAATCCATGCTTCTGGCCAGTCAGCCTATAACACCTGTTAAACAGGCCATGTGCATACTCTCTGGAAAGCTTGCAGGTATAACTTTACTAATAGATATCTTTGGTTCTCATTTGGATAGTCAGGATAAAGTTATTAACTAAGAACTTGTCAAAAAAAATTTTCGTTATGCTGAAGAAACCTTGTATACACTCTGAAGCAGAGACTTAATTTTCAGTAAGAATGTTATGACCCAGTATGTTGAAGATAACCTTCCATCATTTCAAATAGAAGACAATGAAAAAGAGTCAATAACTTTTTAGAAATGGTTGGAAAGGCATACGCAAATTTGTTAGTACAGTCTTAATATTCGAAAATGTGATGATCTGACTTGTTGTCATCCTAAAAGACATAAAGAATCTGCTGCTTTTCTTGCAGAAAATAATAAGTTTCTTCCACCAGTTTTAAAAAGTTGGAATGGACATTACCTTAATTCAGTTCATATCTTACAGTATGCCGATATATTAAAATTACCAGCTTATGATGCCCATTGTCTATCTATTTCATCTGAAATGCATCATCGTTTCTGCTGCACTTTTTGTGGAAAATATTTTCCTATGCTCAAAATAGTCACAACTCATAAAAAATCTAAACATATGAAACAAAAAAAACATAAACACACTACTCTTTCAAACTCACTTGATGATTTTAGCTTGAATTTGACTTCAACTACACCAGAACTAACAATCATGACTGTGTTTTAGATGATGAGTAGTAGAATGGAGACTGTGCATATTACAAAAGAAAAAAAAAATCAGTTTTTGAAAATTTAAGTTTCTGATGACAAAATTTTAAATAAAGTAAGATAGAGTATGAAGGAAACTATATTATATTTTATAGTCTTGTCACTTTGTATTTCAAATGTATATTTTCGAATAAATCAAAATTAAATTGCAACTTAAATAAAAGATCTAAGCCAACGATGTATTTCATACATATGTATCTGCGTAATTTCTAGCCAATCATATTAATTATGATATGACCATATGATATATGCTGAATGTTAATTGGCTAAAAGAATGATTATATGGTTGGCCAAAATTATAGACTAATGCCAACCAAAATTAAACCTGAGATATTTTTATATCTCTCCTACCCTATGATATTAGCTAATATCTGACAGCTCTCTAATTAAAATAATGTGACAGGTTGCACTTAAGTACTATTAGAGTAGCTAAGTGATGTTAGACTTAGATATTAGGAAATTCTATATAATTGTATAGGTATATAGTTTCAAGAATCTTAATAAAATACTAGTGTAACTGTTTAAGATTAAAAAAAAATATCTTAAACAAAAAATATTAAATATAAATTGTTATATAAAACTATAAATTTATTATATACAATTATAAAAAAAGCATATTTAATTGATAAATCATTTTTAAAGAAAACAAAAAATGATAATCTTTATAATAAATAAAATCAGAAATTTATATGTTTTTCTATAGTGCAAGAATGAGACTTGCTTACATATAAAAATTTTTTTTATTAACTAATTTTTTCTTGTTGCTTAATTGAAAGTTGTAAAGCTAAATTTTGTAATTCTAATGGTAGTAAAATCATCAAAATCAGTTAAATAGATCATAAAGTATAAGTATTTTTCAATCATTTACTATAAAGTTTTTTCTTAAGAATTGAAGCACATGACATTCCACTTACTATATAAGGTAACTAGTCACATACCCGCCGATTTTTACTATAAAATTTGTACCCTTTAACTACGGACTACTAATTAAAACTTACTACATGTTATATAAAATTTTATTAAATTTTATTTTATAAAATTTCACAAAATAATTAAACTATTTACTATGTGTGACATTTGAATTCTATACATTTATATAAATAAACACCTAAAAGTTTAAATAAACTTAATAGGAGCAAATTAATATAAAACAATCAAGTTTTAGTGCAAGCAAATAGTGTACAAATTAATAAAACTAAATACACTAAAAAAAAATTAAAATTATATAATGCAAAATTTTTTTTTTAAAAAAATAGGATGGGTTGGAAATTACGTATCATAAAGGAGAAATGATTAAGTAATCGCATTAAATATTAATCGATCCTATTAAATTATAAGATAAACCTGCTGATGGATCTGACATTTTAGTCTCGGGTAAAATATGATATTGTGCATGAAATTTCCTGTTTACAATTTAAATTATTTTATCCATTTGCATATACACCCACAGATCAAAAATAAATTAAAAAAAAGAACCTAGTTTACAAAATAATTATCTATAAAAAAGTGGTTAAAAGAAAAAAATAAAGGTGAGGTGTCTCTAGTCAATTATGCCGACTTCTCATATAGAGAAATGGGAGGAATTAGAAATAATATTCCAATAGTTATCATCGATGCAAGAGTATCCCACATTATAAATTTTAAGGATCGTTTACGATGAGCCAATAAAACGGACCTTTCTCGAATTTTGTGGAAACTGAAAAAATTACATTCACTAAAATGTGATTAGATACGATTGAATATGGTTAAAAAATATATACATTAACAGAAATACGAGAGAAATAATCATATATAAATTAGGGAATAACAATGTACCTCACTCCAAAGATACTAAAAATAGGCGAAAACCTTGTTGCAGCGGTTTGAAGAAAAATCCAACCAAGCCATATAGCAGGAAAACCATAGAAACGAATCAAACGATTTTCCGATCCCATAAATATATAGTAAAGAACCAAAGAAAATCCAAGTGTTAAACACATTATCCCCAAAGGAAGAGCAAGTATAGCATGAGTCTGGGTCAAGTTCATTTCGACAGCAGATTGAATGAATTTTGGGAAATATATCACGTTCATTATATGATGTACATAAGACTTTGCCGAAGAAAATACCACAGGATTATATCTTCCTTGGCGTTCGATAAGATCAGCCATCGTATTTCGACTTTCTTCGGGTAAGATACTCATATGACCATATTTTCGATATATATTCAAAGCAGATTTAGTTAAATCTTCTTCGTCTACACGTTTTACAATTTTCAGATTATTATAATCCTTTGATTTATAGTTATCTGGAATTGTGATTTCATGACCATATCGTGTGGAAGAAGTATGATTATGCGGCATCACAGGATTTTGAGAATCTACAGAAGTAGTTCCAGTATCATCCACACTTGAAGAAGTAGAATCGTGATTTTGTTCCCATTCATCAACCACTTGTTCTTCATAATCATAATCATCATCATTATCATGATAAACGAATTGATTCTTTTCATCGTAACTACGTCGTTCTCTTGCTTTTTTTGTATGATTTTGATATTCACGCCATGATTCAAATAAATTCTCATGAGTCACAACATCTAACCAGAAATTTAAGTTTTCTTCACCATGCCATTCTTGCCGAAGATAAGAATAGAAATTATATTGAGATAATGGAGATCCAGTTTGATTCATTAAGACTTTTTCGAGAGATGGATAAGAAGTAGTAGTATCTGTTATTATATTATTATAAGATTCTTCTGTGCTTAGAGTATCATGTTGAGATAAATTATTAAAAACACCACTGGTTGAATCAGGATAGATTTGTTGTGACGAAAAACCATGGTGAGAAAAAGTATTATCATGTACAGTTCTCATAGAGCTACCAAAGGCCATTTTAGGCACAGCCAAAGTAGAGCTTGCCGATTGCTTAGGTAATGGAGAGACATTATTTTTATTAATTTGCTCCATTGCGGACAAGAAGGTCGCAACATATAAAAAGATTTATCGATAAACTATATTGTGATAATAGATAGGAACTGGGTAAAGAGTGATGATAATGTACTTAGTACAATATTAATATTAAATATCCATTTTTCATTCGCTTTATTGGATATTAAAGAAAGATTGTAGGAAAGTTAGTTTTTACTACGATATTATCAGTTTAAAGAACCAAGGGGGTGAAAATTTTGATAATAGAGCAATTTTTTTTTTTTTACTTTTCCAAATTACTACATTATAATTAATACTGTTATTCGTACGCACCTATAAAAAAATAATGTGCCTCCTTGTGGAATGGTTTAAAACAATTTTATTCGGGACTAAGTGAATAATATTAATGCAATTACTAAATTTGGAAAAAATTGACATGCAATTTGTATTACAAAATTATATATATTTAATTAATAAAATGTTTGTGACAACCCACTATACAAAGAATTTGACGAAAAACAACTGTTGATCGGTTTAAAGATACGTAAATCAGGGACCAACACAAAAAATTTGGATATTATATTTGGATACATATTATTTACACAACACATATCGATATATGTAATGACCTTTTAATAAATACTAAATGCATTTGCACAACATTTGCATAAAAGTTAAAGTTATTAAACGGTTTGTGTTCATTGGTAATTGTCACATCCTTTTATATTATCTATTACGTAACGTGATAAATGATACAGTGACAATTACAATACTGCTTTTAAGCTATTATAACTGATAAATACCGCACACAGCATCCCCAAATACAATATTCTATTACTGAATTCGTGAGCACAATTTTAAATAAAGTTCTTGGGTACTGTATGTGTATAAATTATAATATTCTTTTTTTAGTTTGGTATTCTTTTTTAGTTTGGATATTAGTGAATTTCTGAATCATTTTCTCGGAAATATACATTATATAGGATTAGTAAATAAACCATTTATATCTTTTTTTCATAAAACAAAATTTTGATCGATTCATCCCATATATAGTGTACGTTTATCTGTATATTTAAAATTAATGATATCTGGATATTTGATTTATTACAAAATTATAAACAGAGGATACGTATCAAGATCCCATATCTATATAAAGAGGATGCCTAAAGCGGATAACTTATATAATTAATAATTTGAATTAACTTTAGAGTTAGGGTCATCTTATATTAGGGAGTATGATGATTTCGGTCAAACCAAGAACATTGATCGAGATCAATCCTTATATTTTTTTTTGCGAGACATATGCAAACATTTGTATTAATTTTTTTTAATTTAATTTTTTTAGTTAAACTATATTTTATTGATCTTTCTTTTACAGGTTTGCTCTGTGGGAGGAAGGCCTTGAAGAGGAATTTTGTCTAGAAGGAACTTAGAGTAGGATGGTTCTAAACCTCCTACTAAAAATTGTTACAAGTAGAATAATATAAAAAGTATTCGACAGTGGTAAGTGTTTTATGTGTTAAAAAAAAGACATCAAATTTTGTTACTAAAATAATTATAATAGGGGCGAAGCAAAATCATTGGCATCAAATTTTCGCAAAGGACATAATGCAAGAAAACAAGATTTCTGTTTTATTGTAAAGGATGAAGGAACCGTTCAAGAAATTTTATATGAAACATCATCTTCTCCTTTCGCAAATATTCCAAATAAAACACTTAATGATTTATACAAAATTTAGATTTGGGTGTGATTCTAAAGTAGTGATGATCACTCAGCTAATTACAAATAATATTCGATACTTACCAGATTATGAAAAACTGTGAAAAAAGCTGTGATACAGAATTATTTCTTCAAGCATACAGCCCCATATCAATTGATCATTATTTAAAATAAGGTTTGTATTTAATAGAAACAAACCTCCGGATTTTATAATGGATCAGCCTGGGCCTCCACTGTGTCGCAAATTCTAATACATAGCGATAGTAAAAATTGACCAGTTAAATTTTATTTTATCGCATTGTTCTGATCGTAATGTTAAATCAAACTAACAAATAGTATATCGATATACGTATTACGATATTAAAAAAAAAACGGAATTTGAAATTTAATTTTTATATTCATATTAGGGTTTTTGTACAATTATGATGCATCGGGAAGTTAGGAAATCATACAAGAGTATCTATCGGTGAATTCCGGAACATATCTTTTGAGATTAGAAGATTAGACCCACATACATATTATTACCCTATGACTGTATGATGAGTGATTATTACTTATCACATTTTATAAATGTAATTTGGAAAGCAAATTTTAAACTCAATAATTTGATCAGTTTAAGTTTTTGCGATCGGGGTAAATAGACAGAAGTTCGTTATAACAGCAGAGACCGTTGATGTTACACGATTGATCCTTCACCCGGTGTGCAACACATAAAAAAATTATTTTGCAATACCAGACCATTCCGCCAATACATGTTATGATTATAATCCAACATCATTTTATTATAATAAAAATGGTGATCATAACGTGTAACATCGATGCAGTAAATCAATTGCCTGGATAACTATTTATATGTAAAGTACTTTTTAAGAATACTACGTTTCACTAACAAAAATTCACTGCAAATATCATTGATAGCTTTAGAAGAGCACCTTCGTTCACTGTACAAAATAATCCAAAAATAATTCAAAACCTAAAAAGCTTTACTTAGGAGGCAAAATATGCCTATCTATCAAACTATATTGTGAAATCAGGTAACTGGAAGCGTTTTGTTCAAGATTGTCTTATTATGTTAGATTTAAATAAATGTTTATTACTAACTATTAGATGGTTTGAATAGGAATAAAAAGAAGATTCCGGGTTTAATACTTGTGTATATTCGGTTCTTGTAATATGTTTGGGTTTGTCAATCGTGATAAGTTTCAATTATTAATTGTTATATTGTATGAATAAGTTTTAAGTTTATTAATAATAAATATCGCTTTTGCTCTATTCTATATGTCTATCTATTCTTTACATGTATAAAATTAATTAATTAATTCTTTTATGCTTCTTAATTTATAAGCTTTTTATATAAAGTTTTTTTTTATTTCTTAGTATATCTGATATATAATATTAAATAATATATATATATGTATATTTGTTTTTGCTAAGGTTGATGTTTACAGCAGCTAATGCTTTTATTGTGTTTTTAATTATATATTACATATAACTTGTACAGAGAGTGTGTACAACTAATTACATGTATAATTTTGATTATTTATTAAGTAGTTTACTTGCAGGTTTTACATTAGTTGTTATATTTGTAATCTATTAAAAGATTATTGATTCTTATATTATATCATATAAGTAGTTATCTGGTTCTTGTACATTTAAATACTATCTAATTTAATATTTATTCTCTTTTTTGTATATCTGTTAAGTTGTTACATATTTTAGAGCATGTTACTTAATTGTAAGATTTTGAGTATTTCTTGTTAACTAACTTATCTATTTTATAAATTATTAATAGAATTATACTTTTATAAAGTTTACTTAAATTCTAATACTAATTTATAGCGTTTCTTTAATACTTCAGTATATTTCTAATTTGTTTGCAAATTCTTAATTCAGATAACTCAATAAAATTATAATCTGTTCTTAGTATATTAAATCTAGTTTAATATTTTTTTTCTAACCTGATTTTTAGTAGTCTGATTAGTAGTATTTCTTATATAGAGGTTTTTGTTTATCCAATTCTTTTACATTGGTATCTATTTGTTTTCTAAATATATACTCATTTTTGCAAGTAATACAAGTTAAAAAAAAATTTTTTATATAGATTACAAAATTAGATACTATTTTTTTTAATATAAGATCAAAAAATTTTTTTAAAAATTGCTAATAACTTAAAATTTTATCTAAAATCATATTTTTTGTTCTAATAAAAAAAATTTTTAGTCAAATTTTATTATATAACTTTCTAATATTAATTTTTAATTCTAGTTTTAACACTAGTTAAATTTTATATATTTTTAGTAAAATAATAATAAATTTTTTTTTAACTTATATTATTTGCAGAAATAAATAAATCTGTTTTTTAGATTTAGTTTTACAATAATACTTTTAAAATCTGAAGCATAGCAACATAGTAAAGTAATTATATTATTAACTTTTAAGTAGCAAGTTTAAAGTTCAAATCTCCGTATTAATAAAAATTTAAAATTCTTTCTGTATTATAGTTAACTTCTTTTACTATTAGTTAAAATTAAATATCTATTACTTATATTATATTATCATAATTAAAAAATTATATAGCATTTATATAATAGTTATATCTTATATAAAAAACACAAACTGGTATTAAATAATATAAACTCATAATAAGTATTCATAATTATGTAAATTACAAAAATTAGAAAGATAGAAGTTTATTTAAAAGTTTTGAATAAAAAGAAAGCCTGCATTTTTAACAGTATTACTATAAAGATTAAATCTAAAAAACAAACTAAACCTTGTAAAGCTAGATAATATATTAGTTTTTAAAAGACTATTATAACTAGCCAAGTTGCTAAAACCTTTTAAAAAGAAAGATTATATGTTAAAAAATATATAAACTAAAAATATAGTTGTATTTACCTTTTCAAACTATTTGAACTAAGAGTTTGATAAAACTTAAATTGAATATCAAAGTAATAAAAATATATTATGAAGTAAGTACTAAAGTTGAGATAAACTCTACAAGTTATAATAGTTTAATAATAAGTTCTAATTGTAAGTATTAGTTTTAGTTATAATATAATTAAATTAGTTATAAGAATAAGATACAAAAGGTTTTGAAAGGTTTAGTACAAGATCAAAGATTTATTATATAAGTAAACTGACTTAAAGACTTAGTGACTATATTATATATATATTTTTTCTTGACTTTGGCAGTCTTGTCGATTGCTTTTTATTAAAATATTATGTTTTTATATGAATATTTTTAAACTTAACATATTGAGTTAACATCTTGCAGTTACTTCTATGAGCACTTACAAGCAATCTGCTTGTACTAGTT